GTTTATAAAGAATTTCTCTTTGGATTTGAGACTTTAGTCTTTGCAACTTTACAGATCTTCTTTATGCACCAAGAGCTTGTAACACTCCAAAGAGAAAGGAACAATTGAAATCGCATCATATGACCCCCTTTAATGCATCCTTGCTGAACAGAAGTGTTAAGAGGCGCATGTAGACGCAGGTGTAATCAGCACCTGTTGTGTGTGTTTCTCTCTCTCAGATCTGATGGAGTCGGTTCTCAGGTGTATGCAGGCGTGTCGGCGGCTGCTGGTGGTGTTGAGCTCGGATTGTTTGTGTGAGAAGAGCATCGGTCAGCTGGAGTGTCGTCTGTGTTTGTACCTGCATCACGCGTCGCGTGTTCCTGTCATCACCGTGAGACGATGCGCGTTTAGCGCCCCCTGCGGCGACATTGTGCAACTGCGCAACAACTCCACCTCCATCCACTGGCACGATGCGCGCTCCGAGCGAATCAACTCGCGCTTCTGGAAGCTTCTGCGGCTCGCACTGCCTCTGCGACCGCTCGCGCTCGGGAAAAGACTCATCGATAGCACTTCCTCCCATTCGGACCTGGCGTCTTTGGCGACGCGTTACACGCATGCGCAGACCGTCTCGCTCAGTCGGCGTAGCAAAGTGGGGCGGGGCGGAGTGAGACACCTGGCCGTGCGCGACCGAAGTGGGCGGGGCTGTGAGCAAAAGGGGCGGGGCTGCGCAATCTGCGTGAGTTTTCAGGAAAGTCGTCGAATTTGGGGCGGAGTTATTGCTACTCAGTGGAACACACACCTGCATCAGCCTGTAGCCAATGGGACGATACCTCACGCCACACACAACTCCAACACTGAACCCGGAAGTGACCCCGGCAACGACCTCTGCCCTTGTGAACCAATCAACAACAACCAGACAAATGAGCTACAAACCACTCACTGTTGACTCACACTGCTGGACAAAGAACCAGCGAATATTATGAACGAAATGTGTAAATCACAATAACTTTCAGGTAATATGTAAATACTGACCATAAATTCAATAAACTAAATAAAATCAGGCTGACCTTTGACTTGAGTCTGAGATTTATTTTCACTGGTATGCTGCATACTGCACAGTACAGTATATATACTGTATACTGCATGCTTTTTAAAAAATAGTATGCAATGCAGTCTGCAACTAATGTTTCGAACCGTGGTATTCTGCATTGCATTATGGTATTTCATGCATTGAGCTCTGGTTGTCTATATTGCACTTACTATATTTCTGCAAACATTTTGCATACTCTATACATATGTATACTATGCATACTATCAAAAAGGGATGATATGCTGTTGTGAACATAAAAGTGGCAAGTTTCAGTTAATTTACATCTAATGAATTAGAATAATTATCTAGGCTTAGAATAACATTTTAAGACATCAGACATGGCAACAAAAAAAAAAACAATAAATAAAAATAAAGCCTCACTATTTAAAAAATTACCTAAGTATGTAAAACAATAATTATGTACTATGCTAAAATATTTTTACATTACCTAAATATGTTGCATGTTTAATACGACAAGTTGCATGCAGTTGTAAAATTGAATATAAAAATGAATGCAGCCTTTTTATTATTAATTAATTAATTTAAATGTTTTAACTTCTGGCAATCTGAACAATTAATATGTGATTATGAAAAAAAATCTTTACAGTAGTTCGTAGCTTCCTGCATGTTGAATTAGAACAATTATCTAAGCCCAAAATAGCATTTTAAGATATACTTCAAATGTTAAAAGAAAACAGATTTGGATGTACTAGTAAGTAAATAATGATTCTCCTCATTTTGAATTTTGGTGGCATTTAACCCCAGCCCTGGCTAATTTCTCACCCTGCTCAATATATAATATAATCAAAAATATGAAATATGTGCAGCTATAAAAACAACATTCTGACAGTCCAAAAACACAGATGTTAAAAATATATCGCATATTTGAACGTATTTTAAAATACCACTCACTTCAAGTTTTTGCATTGTGTCTTACTGAATACTGTACATTTTAAAAATTTTGTAAAAAGTGTTTGCTGTGCACAGTATGCATTCTACATACTGAAGAAATAGTACCTGTAGTGTGCTAGTATGCCATTTCAAACAAAGCCTGAGCTCTATCTGGCCACTAGAGGGCAGATTCTTCCCAGAATTCCTGCCCGTGTAAATGGGGTGTGGTTTGCTTTCATGGCCACTCAGTACAGTACTGCATTTACAAACACACTCATCCGCAGACATGGGTGTGTGTTGTGGTTGTTATTTAACAGTTCTCAGGAAAGCCGTCCTGCCTGATGTCATGTTTATTGAGTATCAGGAAGTAAAACTTATTAAAAAACACACCAACAAACACAGGCACACTGATTTTCATCTTTACTTTTGTTCAAATATCAGAGTGTGCCGGCCGTCGGTAACTCTTAAAAATCCCTCTTTTGAGTGCTCTTTACTTCCCTTTTCTATATGAAGGCTTATCACTGAGAGATCTAAAGGAGTTCAGGAAGAATTTCCCTAAAATATTCATGAGATGAGAAATGGTGAGCACACACACATCAGCTACATTTGATGTCATTCTGTGTTTGTGTGTGTGTGTGCGCGAGGGAAAATGTGTGTGAAATAGTGAGTACCAACACTCAATCACAGCTTACTGAGTCATAAACCCTGATAATATAAATGACTGATAACAAGAACCATGCTGCAGGATTGAGCGAAGCAGGAAGGGAGGGTTATGGAATAAGGCGGAGTGAGAATAGAAAGTGAGCAACCAAGAAAAGGAAAAGGAGAGCTGAGAAGAAGTGAGTTGGAAATGCCCTAAAATTCCTGTGTTCCAGTAAAGTGTGTCGTCCTGCTGCTGGTGACTAATCATGTGACCAGGTGAGGAGCCTCTACCTCCTGTCATGTTGTTGGTAACATGACTTTGACTTCCTGAGCAACCTGAAACCATTAGTGATGTTTACTAAGGAAAGTGTCTCTGTTATCATGGATATGATGACTCCAGAATGTAAAATGGCTTTAACTAGCATTAGTGATACAGTGAGTGGAAAATCTCAGAGACTTGAATATGGAGCGTTTTCACTTTAGATATTAAGAAACCACCTAACAATCAATGGAATTCCTCAGCAAGCTCGTAGTAATGACCTGGCAACCACTCGAAATACTTTAGCAACTACATCGCAATGCCTTGGCTTGGCAACCACTTAGAACAATCTAGCTTTCACCCAGAACATCTTATTAGCCACATAAAACCACCCAGATCGCCCTCATTCAGAACACCTTAGCAACCATTTAGAACACCCCAGATATGAGAACACTTCAGAAACTGCATAGCAATGCACTGACAATACCCCAAACCTCCCTAGCTACCGCTCAGAACACCCATTGACTGCATAGCAATGCCCTGAAAACCACCCAGAACACCCTAGCTACCATTCAGAACACCTTAGCAACCATTTAGAACACTGCAGATATGAGAACACCTCAGCATAGCAACACCCTGACAACTCCTAAAATTCCCTAGCTACTCTTTAGAGGAACTTAGCAACTGCAGAGCAATGCCCTGACAACCCCCCAAAACTCCATAGCGATCACTCAGAACATTCAGTGACTTCATAGCAATGCCTTGGCAACCCCTTAGAATACCCTAGCAACCACGCAAAAATACATTAGCTACTAAACACCCTAACCACTATTAGAATACCTTAGCAACTGCATAGCAACACCCTGACAACTCACCAAAACTCCCTAGCGACCACTCAGAACATTCAGTGACTTCATAGCAACGCCTTGGCAACCACTTAGAATACCCTAGCAACCACTCAAAAACACATTAGCTACTAACCTCCCTAACCACAGTTAGAAAACCTTAGCAACTGCATAGCAAACCCCTAGCGACCACTCAGAAAACTCAGTGACCGCATAGCAACCCCCTGTCAACCACTTAGAAGACCCTAGCGACCACTCAAAAACACATTAGCTACTAACCTCCCTAACCACAGTTAGAAAACCTTAGCAACTGCATAGCAAACCCCTAGCGACCACTCAGAAAACTCAGTGACCGCATAGCAACCCCCTGTCAACCACTTAGAAGACCCTAGCGACCACTCAAAAACACATTAGCTACTAACCTCCCTAACCACAGTTAGAATACCTTAGCAACTTCATAGCAACACCCTGACAAACCACATAACTTATATTGACTATTATTATGGTACTATTTGGTTCTTTTATGGCATTTTTAGGAGCTTTACAGATCCTAGTCACTGCTTTATGGAAAAGAGCAGTCTGGACATTCTGCTAAACATGTCATATGGGATTGCAGTGACATGACGGTGAGTACAAAATGTCAAACTAGTTATTTTTGGGCAAGTTATTTATTTAAATTGCTTGCGGAAAGATTATGAGGAGTGTGTATTAAGTAAATGAATTCCTCAGATAATATTACTGGACATTTAGAGATATTAAGAATAGAAGCAAATCAGGTAAGACATAAACAAATGTCCCCGACACCAACAGCAGCTTCAGACAGAGTTCATGTTCCTCAGCTCAACATTATGTGAATGCGTTCACTAGACCTATTAACCAGGTTTTCACATCGAGCTGTGACCGCATGCCTCCACTCGCTGATATCTCAACCACAATGACATTCTCAAATACCTCTGGATATCATAAAGCAGGAAGTTTGCTACTCAGTGGAACACACACCTGCATCAGCCTGTAGCCAATGGGACGATACCTCACGCCACACACAACTCCAACACTGAACCCGGAAGTGACCCCGGCAACGACCTCTGCCCTTGTGAACCAATCAACAACAACCAGACAAATGAGCTACAAACCACTCACTGTTGACTCACACTGCTGGACAAAGAACCAGCGAATATTATGAACGAAACGTGTAAATCACAATAACTTTCAGGTAATATGTAAATACTGACCATAAATTCAATAAACTAAATAAAATCAGGCTGACCTTTGACTTGAGTCTGAGATTTATTTTCACTGGTATGCTGCATACTGCACAGTACAGTATATATACTGTATACTGCATGCTTTTTAAAAAATAGTATGCAATGCAGTCTGCAACTAATGTTTCGAACCGTAGTATTCTGCATTGCATTATGGTATTTCATGCATTGAGCTCTGGTTGTCTATATTGCACTTACTATATTTCTGCAAACATTTTGCATACTCTATACATATGTATACCATCAAAAAGGGATGATATGCTGTTGTGAACATAAAAGTGGCAAGTTTCAGTTAATTTACATCTAATGAATTAGAATAATTATCTAGGCTTAGAATAACATTTTAAGACATCAGACATGGCAACAAAAAAAAAAACAATAAATAAAAATAAAGCCTCACTATTTAAAAAAATACCTAAGTATGTAAAACAATAATTATGTACTATGCTAAAATATTTTTACATGACCTAAATATGTTGCATGTTTAATACGACAAGTTGCATGCAGTTGTAAAATTGAATATAAAAATAAATGCAGCCACTTTTTTTTTATTTATTAATTAATTAATTTAAATGTTTTAACTTCTGGCAATCTGAACAATTAATATGTGATTATGAAAAAAAATCTTTACAGTAGTTCGTAGCTTCCTGCATGTTGAATTAGAACAATTATCTAAGCCCAAAATAGCATTTTAAGATATACTTCAAATGTTAAAAGAAAACAGATTTGGATGTACTAAATAAATAAAAATAAAGCCTCACTATTTAAAAAATTACCTAAGTATGTAAAACAATAATTATGTACTATGCTAAAATATTTTTACATTACCTAAATATGTTGCATGTTTAATACGACAAGTTGCATGCAGTTGTAAAATTGAATATAAAAATGAATGCAGCCTTTTTATTATTAATTAATTAATTTAAATGTTTTAACTTCTGGCAATCTGAACAATTA